CTATTGTGATTCCATTTTTGTCTGTCCGCTTTTTTCTACAGGATTCGAAGTACAAGGACTTACCTTCCCAAATATATTACGATAACCTGAATGAAGATATAATCGAAGAAGAAGATGATGAAGATGATGAAAATGATGGAAATGATGAAAATGAAGAAAGTGAAGAAAGTGAAGAAAACGTTTACTGGGAAGCTATAGAAGGATCATATGAGCAGACACCATGGGTTCGAGATGTTTTTTTTAAACTGGAAAGGAACTTAACCGAGATAAATGAAAGTCGTGAAAAAGATAGTCTAAGTAAGAAACATTGTTATGATTTGAATTACTGGCTATACGAACAAGTGTATGAAAATCTTAATAAGAACGAAAATGATGAAAATTTTTTTAAAATAATTGATGGCCTTCAAGATGCATGGAAAAATATAAATAATGATAAGTTCCCCAATGCCGAGAATTTATGTCATCCCGATAAAACACTGGTTGATATGAAATATTTAAAAGATGTTAAAAATTTGTTTGATTTTATTGAAGATTTTTCTACCATCAAAACGGCAGCTATCAAGGATACGAATAGGGCGTGTCAGAAATATATTGACTACCTTAAACTTAAGGTTCCTTTGTACTACGAATGGAATTCCGTATGTACTATGGAAGAAGAGAACATTTGTACAAAGTATATTGACGATTATCCAAAGTATAATCCCAAGAACGTGTTGGAGAATTTATCTGTAGTTAGTCTTGCATTGTCATCCATATTCAATGATTGCTATCAAGATATTATAAATTTGTTTACAAAAGCAGAGAAGATCGAGCCACGAACTGTTCTGAAGGTTAGAGACATTACAGGCACATCCCAAAGTAATGTCGTAAAAATGGGAGGAAGAGTTTTAGCGGAAGCTATAAATGATACATCCCAGTCTGGGAACATATTAATTGGCATTAATGCGTTGGTTACTTCGCTCTTTTCCGTGGTGAAGAGATTCAACTCTTACGTGTTTAGCCTGGTCGCGCCGGTGGGCGTTTCCCTGTTGAGCTTATTTTTATTTCTGTGCGTCCTCTATAAGGTGAGCAGACGGATGAGTGAACGGGTGAAATCATGAACTAGTGATTGAATGCATAAATGTGTGCATGCGGCGTATGGATGCTTTTACTATGCAGAGATATGTCCTCTTTTTTTTGAAATATGTGCATCAACAGAGTGGCCTAAGGGGGCATCATAATTTATACATCATTCCACTGTTTCCTTTTTCTTTAGTTTACCCCAATTGGGAAATCGATTTATCACCCTCACAAACGAGGGAAGAACATATTTGTTCGAAACAAGACAGATGATCTTGATGATGACGAGGACGATGATGATGAAAACAGCGACAACAATACTGACAACAATAGCGACTTTAAGTCTAGTCCCAGCATCGAGTCGTTAAATAGTCATTCATAGGTGAACATGAAAATGCAAAGGTAGAATGACGCTTTGTTACATCGAGTATAAATTGACAGTAAAACGAGTGTCATCTGGTTGTATGGGAGCAAAGTCGCAGTAATGCTTCACGAAGAGAATTGAAGAATATATATGAAACATAACAAAATGCGAAGAATGGAGACAAAAGAAGGGCGTAGGTGTGTGTGTATTATATATACAACACATATATACACTCATCTCAGATTAAGATTACTATAATAATGTTAAAGGCAGTGTTGACAGATCACTAGTTGGTAGTGATATGAGATATAACCTACGATTTCAGAAAGAAGAGGCGTTTTTTGTAGATGGAGAGTCTGTCGGAGGATTCTTTACATGGGTGAAAGGGTAACAATATGGGATACCTAGAGTGGACGCAGACGAAGATGTCGCGTGACATCAAATTAAGATGGCTTACCCATGTGACTCACAAAGAGATAGTCCGTAGTGAGTGTAAGGGAAAGGAATAATCTTTGCAGCTGAAAAAAATCACCCCCTCCCAAATGAGTCATAGTGTTACCCTGAGCGGGTGTCTGCCACAGCCTGTTTGTCTAAAACCTACGAGATTGTCGAAATGTTTCTTCCAAACCAGGAAGCAGTGATAAAATGGGAAAAGTGCCTTGTGGTTAGGACTAATGCCAGCGAGTCGGTGTAATTGTCATAATTAGAAATAGACACGGGTAGCCGTAATGGCGAAGTTTATGCGCGTATGATTTTTTTATGTGGAGTTATCCCGGCCAAGTATAATTTAGGATACGTTCTGTAAAAGTACGTGCTGCGCTTGTGATAAACTCGTGGTACAGTTAGTAGTAGTGCAAGGGGAGAGGAATGAATTTGTGAGAAGGCGCGGACTAGTGTAAATAGGTAGAAGACGAAAATATACAGTACAAGGTTGTTTGCAATGTGTAATGATAAGCAGATAGTTCCGGTGCGGAAGTCTCCAGGGCAGTGATCGAGCATTAATCGTAACGCATCTTATTGGTGTAGAAATGATTCTGTTATAATGGCGCTGTAAGGAAGATGTTATAGTTGTACACTTTAAGAAGTTTCGATTGTGCCGTTTTACAAATTTGTCCTCACCTGATGATGATACAGTGACGCATATACATTTGGATCTGCTATACTTGTCATATGTACGAAGGCGGAAGGAATGTGCAATGGTAGAGCTAGGGTTTATATAAAAAATTTTGAATCTGTGACTTCGCCTTTTTTACATTAATAACTATAAAAATGACTACGGAAAAAATGAGACGGAACAGATAGAATTGCTCTTTTTCGTATTTAACATTTTATGAGTTACCTTTTTGTTTTAGTAAATCTTGAATTTAACACTGCCTGTGAAGATATAATAGTACATTTTGTCTAATTAAAAGAGAGGAAGAAGGCGAAGAAAAAGAATCATATGGTGAAATATTTTTATCATATTGGAGACATCCCAAGTGGCTTTTATTTATTTCAAATGTTACAGAAAAGACGAATGCATTTTTACGCGAAGAATTACCATGCGTAAGTTTACAGGTACAATAATGTAATTAGAAGTTATTTTGTTTATTCCCGGAAAACATTAACAATTTAGCGGAATTGGTAAAACGAGTTAACTGTTACAATCCGCTAGAGTATCACGGGCATTGCGATCGTTTAAACATGTCATGTTCTTTCCTTTAAAGCCTCACAAAGCAGAAGACTTAGAAGCAGAGAATAGAGCACATATATATAATATGGATAACATGATGATAGGCAAAATAAAAAAGCATATGATTGAAGCAAACTCAAAATGCTAGGAAAATTCTTGTAGACTAATTTTTTAGGACTAAATGATATTGATAATTTATTAGTTGACAAAACTAGTCCACTACAAAAGGGATGCTTTTGAGAGGTGGTTGTTCATTTGAGGAAACATTATGGGAATTTTGTCAATTCTAACAGAAGAGTGCTATATTCATTTAAATATTATATGCCTTTATAGGTTGTTATATAGGTTTACGTAATATGCAGAAAACATTTTTATTTTTTCATATTTTGTATTTGTGCATTGTTCTTTTGTTTTTAATTTTGTTTTTGGTATTCTTTGCTTATTTTATTCATTACTATTTGGAACATTATGTTTTTTAATTAAAAACATTATAAACTTTCGTATTGTAAACAGATTTCTTCGATATGATGGAATAATTGAATAATTTATGAATTAAGTCATCTAGTGGTGGATTTCATAGTAAAAATATAACATGCAGAATATTTTTACGTGATTCATGTTTTCCTATATACAACCCAGTGAATTTATTATAAAAAATATTAAAATATGTACTTATGTAAATTATGATTTACCAAAGTTTCATGCCGGAAAACGGAAAGGCACGTCTTATTGGAAATAGTAATATAATAAATATGCCTATCAAACCAATGGATGGAGAAGCATCATCAGTTATTATTAGAATGGCCCCAAAATTGATAATCTACTTTTATAAATTTGCTCCCCTTTATTAGGGTTATTTTTCATTTTCCTTCATGTTTTAATATATGTGGACAGCCTAGCAGACGTAATGTTATTCGGATTATATGTTAAATATACCTATTATTTTACCAGAGAAAGCGGAAAAATGTTGTTTAATAAAATCATTTTACTCATAACTGATTCCTATCATATTTTGTCGGAAATAAAATTGATATAAATTTGGAAACCTGTGTAGAATTATAGTTCAAAAGTTAAGACCTCATTTTGTTAAATATCTTTGAAAAGTAACATTATTATTTTCTAGCATTTGCAGTGAGTGCAGAATTTAATTTTTCTGCGAATGCAGTATACCACAACTTTAGAGAACTCTGCAAAGCAATAGATTCTTTTTTCGTTAGTGATGGTGGAATATATCTTTCCATTATCTATAAAGAAGTTCTTTTTAAATTTTACATTCCGTGCTTAATGTTATCGTTATTATTATTTAATAACTGAAATTGCATTAAAATAGATAACTTCGTGCTGTACAAATTATTCTCACGTGATAAGGATTTAAAAAAAAGCTCGCAAAATTGAGCTTCGTAATTACTCTGATTTAATATAGATATATATATGTATCAGTTACCTTTTTATTCCTCTTCCTATTTTAAATAATCTTTTGGAGTTATTCATGATTAATTTATTTCTAGAATTTTTTTCCTAAATGGTAATATTATTACCTGCCAAAAAGAATGTGTTAACAATAAAGCGTCGGACAAATTAAGTTATATATTTTGAAAATTTTGTTGGGAGAATTTACATATTTCGAGTATTCTTTTGTAAGTTCTAAATAATTTCCTTTTTTAATTTTTTTAGTGATATGTTAAAATATTTTAAAGTTGTTTTTTTGGTCCGGTCCTACTATATTTTCTTATTTGCGTTATTATATCTTTATGTAAGATTTAGTTCGTTTGAAGAAAATAGAGGAAGGAACCAGTAAAAGTTAATATACGAATTTTTCTTCTACGTTTAATCACTTATACTACTATAACGATCATTTCCAATTAGACATTGTGGAAAATTTCGGCAGCCTTAATGATGATCACGATGAAAGAAAATAAACTAAAGTTTCCCCTTTTTGTTAAAGTTGCCACCTTCATCCTTTTAGCGCGTACAAATCGGATTTGCAACGATTCGGTATGAAAGAATGACAATAATGGCATGAGTGATGAAACATGAACGTGAAGATTTCATGTTTTCCTTTTTCTTTTTTTTTTTCATTTTGAATCCACTTCATGATTTTATTTTTCGAATCATTACATTGGCGTAGTAACGATTTGATGTATCTATCTTTATTACAAATAGAAACTGACTTCCGCACCTATGTATCGCTACTCTCTTGTAGGCCCAGTTTGAAACATCATTGGTTAAGTATGGGACTGGGAATGACGAATCTCGTTTCAGAACCCAACGAATTTTAGGAGGAAACGAATGGAGGCGAGATTCCCTTCTGGCAGATTTATTCGATGATGATGAATTATACAATTATAATTCTGATTACAAGTCAAGCCGTCGTGTAAAAGATATGCACGATCACCACCGCCATAGTCATCGACATGAACATGGACACAGTCATAGACATCGCACATCGCCAAGTAAAAGAAAGAAAAACAATAATGAAAATGATGAAATACTTAGCTTATCCCAATTTTATGTAGATGATGATGATGAAGACGATCATGAAACTAGTTCAGCCCAATATGAATCCAGTTATTATGATAGTGTAATGAATCTTACGAATGAAAGAAGATCTCATTCGGAACACACAATATCATCAATGGATATCGAATTATATCTAGGATACGAAGATGATTTTATTTCTGGAGGAACAGAAGGATCTGGTAGTATGCTTAAGAAAGCAGATAGTTATTGTGAAGGTAAAATTTTCGATTCCTTGGGTGCTTTAGACGAATATAAAAGATATGATGGGGAACAGAGAAGAATTATGAAACAGGCAGCATATAAGAAAGGAGCAAAGGTATTTGCTGTTCCTGGTGCAGTCGCACTATCTCCACTAATAATAGCGTCGTTTTTCACTTTGAGTAATCCTGTTATTTGGTGTTTGGCAACTTCCGGCTGTGTATTGGGGGCTGCTTTGTACACAAGAAGTAAGACGAAAAATAGTCATCGGACACGTCACGTACAGTGCAGAACTTACTAATCCCATTTTGAGAAGAAAATTATCTTTCAAATTGTTAAATTCTAAGCTATATGATATACCATAGAGAGAATGCAAGATGGTAAAATATATAATCCTTACCCCGTCCCCTCCGCGTACGCTGAATACAACTTCATTTTTACAACGTAGGCCATAGAGCTATATCTATATATTTTGAACTATCATGATAAGGAAGAATAGCATAATTTCCATTTTAATTTTCAGGAAATTCCAATGCTCTTTTATTTCTTTTTCTATTTTAAATTTTTTTCGAGTGGAATTTAAAGATTTGGCGTAACAGACTATGTGTGAACACTGATTTTTTTTTTGCACAACTGCATGATTTGATGTTGTGCGAGCTTACTGCATCTACAATTTTGATTACACACAAGGTTACGCGCATATATATAATATATGTGTATATATATGCGTATGTATGAGTATATGTGCGCGTAACCGTGTGATCGTTTTGCGAACAATCCGCGTTCAAACATTACTGGAAACACGCGAATTGTCATTGCATATGACTGCATTTACTTAACACAGTAATGAATACTTTTCCTTACTACAAATGAATATTCCGTTTGTTTCTTTCTCTGAATAAAATGTTGTTTAATGTATTGCCTTAGTTAAAATATATTCGTGGCTTTATTATTGTTACTTTTGTTTCTGACAATTAAGGCTATTAGGGCAAGCATATGATATAGATATATATATATGCGTGTGTACGTATGTATATGTATACATCAGTAGCTATGTCTTGGCACAGTTGTATATCACATTATATACAACAATGAGTCTGTATACCTCTGCTTTATAATGTAGATGCTTAGAACCCCAAGGAATTTTCTTTACTCAAGAAGTGAAGATAGACTTTATGAATTTTGAACTATTTATATTCTGCATAATATCCCAATCTTACGGTGGACGTAAAATTGTAGGCACGTAATTTCCTTGAACGATTAGAATGAATCGTTTGTGGATTTAACAAATGACCAAAATGGATTATGCTTGTTTGGCATAAAAAGTGGATGACGGAGCTCCTTAATAATCATGAAACTGCTGTTTTAGCCCCTAGGACGACGCACAATTAGGGGAAAAATTGTGCTTTCTTGGGATCCTACAACACATTGGTGATGGAGTATTATCATTGATTAGTAAAATATTTCGTTATATATATTTCTTTTTTTCCATATGACATATACAGCGCAGAGTTCTCGACGAACAGGAATTTTTAATAAAATATTCTTTCTGAGAAAAAGTAAAAACATTAGATAAATCAGATACAACAGGGATGATAATCCCATATGTGCACCCTTAAATATCACAAAAAAAAATGTAACAAGAACAACAAAAAGGTGAACAATTGATACATTCCTGAGGTGCGCAAGCATAGTCATATAATGACGCTTTAGCAGCATATTTTTCACTAGTACATATGAGCATTATAAACAGATGCATATAGATATGTTTTGCTTCATATGATGGACGTAAATTTCTAAGTGGCCACATCCCATTTGGCTAACCAACAGTAATTAAATGTTATTACATATATTTTTTGATTGACAACCTCAGAGTAAAGCACTTAGAGAAAAATCGTGTACGACGCATTAGAATACGGATTAAGGCAGCCTTAATTCCCCCCATCGGCAACTTCTAATGTATCTTATTCTTCTGGGGAAGCCATATGATATTGTATGTTCTGCATTAGTGAAGGCAGACGATACGGGGTGTTTTGCATTGTCAAGGGCATACGATGCGATATGTTATGCATTAGTGAAGACATACCATAGAATTGATTGTTTCTGAACGCGGTTCTATCACCATGCATCATATTTTTTCTTTCCTAATTTTTTCTATTTATCCTGTGGTAGGAAGTATCGAAGGGGACTGAACTATTGTGCAAAAGATAGATAGACGTATATTAAAGGCCTTTACGTAAAGGTCATATAATGAGAACGAAGAGATATCGGAGAACGTGCCTAACGAATCTGTACTTGTATTCCTTAAATGGGTGAGCATAATGTTATACCTTATATATTATAGGAACAGGGATTAAAGCACCTCCAATTGATGTTCCCACGTAAAGAAAATTATCTTGGATAATTGTTATACGAGGGATATAGTGCATATAGTGAGTTACCTATTGTAGAAATTTGCGAAGAGCACATGTCTTCGCCTTTGGGAAGTGTGGTATAGATTTGATTCTATCTGGCATATGATAATTGCTGCATTGGCCATAAGAAAATGTTGTAGGAATATCGTACAATGTACAATTTTCAGATATATGGAAAAATTTGTTCTCGGGTATACATGCATCAATTGTGGCATTTTTTATGGTTAAAGAAACAATTGTATTTTTCGTTCACATATGAATTTAATACATCACAAGTTTCCGTGTCGTTGACTATGGAATGAGAAGATAATCTCTTCTTTTGCTGATATCATCTAAATACTTTCTAATGGGCATTGGAGATGCATAACCTTTATATAATCTTTTCCACAACTAAAATTTCTAGATTGATTAAATGATGATTCCATAGTATCCTTCATGGGATTTATGCATTCCTTGGGTATCTGAAACTTCTTCTCATATTTGCCTTTGCTATCTAATTAAAGAATTAATTCGGTAACATTATCTGAATGGTAATTCGGATCTGTATAATGTTTATCATGAATAGTGTTATCTGCTGTAATGAATTTTTCCATATTTTCTATAGGAAACATTATCTTTAGAGTGTTTCAATCATGCTCTTAAATTAAGTAATCCATTTTCCAAAGCACTTTGAAGAGTACTCATGTTCATGAATGTGCTAAATTTGTCATCGAAAATTGATGACGGCAACTTGTGGTTTAGTGTGCTCTAAAATTCAAATAGAACAATATATATATACATTATGAAGAAATTATATTATAGTAAAAGAATATTTGATTATTAAATTTATTATAATGCAACTATATATAAATAAGAAATACGAAGATACACATTTTGACTCGAAACTGTTGCTCATGTTAATTTCTTGCAATTGATATTGATAAATTCACTGAAGAAAAAATACTTATTCGTATTTGTATAGGAGGTTATATTACTGTATGTCCAGCAGATATTCCTATGAATGTACCTTGTAAATTATAAAATGTTCTTATATAGGAAAACATATAATAGCATGGATGGTTCGAAAAAGGAGAATTTTTTTTTTCTTTTTGTCTATTTCATGTCATAATAGAAAATTCATGCAGTATTCCATTAGAGATAATAAGAATGAAGTTCCCAAATGATGTTGCCTATTTTTCTGTGCATGAACAAAGGTGTGGCGTCGTGACTTATGTTATCATTGAAACGCTGTAAAAATGTGTATATAAATTTGTTGTAAAATGAAAACAACATATGGTTAATGAATTATGTTCTCATCGTAAAGTGACATTTTTTTACGATAATTTCATATAGATGTAATACCAGCAATTATAGGAACACACTTCGAAATATATGAGAACATCTTTATAGCATGAATACCTATGGTGCGGAAATTCAGTTTCTAGGAGTAAATTTTAATATACAATGTTTTAAAATGTATAATATTATTATGTGAAGGAAAAATGAAATGCAAGATTTTTAGAATTCCTGATGAAACAGTACATCTCCGTGTGATATGTTTCATAACGGATATATAATGTGTTTATATGTGCCTGTCATGTCGTCTCGTTTATAATTTTTTCAAAATAAAAGTGCAAATGAATTTTTCTGCAATGAATACTAAGCATACTTTTATCATTCAATTTTTTTTTTACTGATTCCCTATCGCCCATAAAATGCTTCATATCTTGAAAATGGAACGTACCATGCAGATAAGATGTTGCCTCTTTGTTCTTTTCTCAGAAGTTATGTTCCAATATGTTGTCAGGACTTAAATTGTGCCCTGTCGAAGAGAACTATTCGATTGTCATGCTTTCGCACCGTCATACTGTTCGAGTGACGCAAAGCTATCGCAGCCTTAGTAGGATTCCTCCATTAGGCTCTGGAACTAATCTCAGAACATAACACGTAAAACGCGCTCGTGTATACTACAACAAGGACAAAGGGATTGTCTACGAAGGAAGAAGCATAAGAGTAAGGGGTCCCCAGACGACGATCGCATCTTTTATGCAGTTCTTGCTTCTTTCGTCTCTGCAGCTGTGAGAAAGCTTCTTGAAAGAATAAGAGACAGATGAGGACGTTTCTAAAAGACTAGGTATTATTATCTTTCTCTTCGAAATATGTCGCTCTTGGTTGATTTTAAAGATTTCTACACATCTGCCTCGCTATGTAATACATTTAAGACATTGGGATTTCTTTCTAACACTGAACAAGTTTCTAAGAATCATTCAATACATAACTCGACTTTAGAAGACTGACGAAATATATTTTAGAATTCTACTTCTAAAAATCACTACAGTATTGCGAAGTATGACAATGAAGATGCCTCCTTCGTGCATTAGAGACTGTGAATGTAAACTGTTGAGTGGAAACAGTAGGAGTTATGCCAGAGACAAATGACCCTCAGTTCTAAATTAGCTGAATATCTATTACACATCTTAGAGGTTTGAAGGAAGCTCCCCGGCTTCACTATATTTTGTCTGATTCGGAGTATTATTATATTTAGCTTAGCCCTATTTTTTCGCTCGAATGCATTATTTTCTTTTTAGGAAGTGTAACAAAAGGGTTTAATAATGCAGAAATAGAATTATTCATTTTTGTGAGCACCAATAAATATACTCAAACGTACATATCCTTCCAGATTTCACGGGATTAATCACACACTCTTCTCAGAATTCCGTATTAAACATCTAACTATGCTTGCAACGGACAAATCGAAGAGGGTGCCATAAGGATTCGCTTGAGCGAAGAGTAACACGTCGAACATTTAGGAAGTAGAAATGCGCGGTGAGTAAACGGAATGTTACGAAAATACACATACATTCTTAAATGGGTGAAGTGCCATATTTATAGCAATCATGTGAGTACA